CTGCTGCTGCTACTGCTGCTGCTGCTGCTGCAGCACGCCAGCAAAATGGGCCTTTTAGACTCCTCAGGCGTTCTCCTCAAACCCCACATCTTCTCCAAGCCCCAGGGGGCCCCCGGGGCCCCCCCTGGGGGCCCCCCTGAGGGGCCCCCTGAGGGGCCCCCCCTTGAGGGGCCCCCTGAGGGGTCACCAGGAGGGGCCCCCAGGGGGCCCCCCAATGGGGGCCCCCGTTTGGCCCGGGGTATGGATGAGGCCTTTTATGTGGACTTACCGCCACCGAATTTGAGAGAAAGAAAAGCCCCCCCAAGACCTAGAAGATTCTATCCTTAGCTGTTGCTGCTGCTGCAGTTGCTGCTGCAGTTGCTGCTGCTGTAGTTACTGCTACTGCAGCTGATGCGGCAGCAGCAGCTGCTGCTGCAGCGGCTTCTCCTGCAGCTGGTGCAGCAGCGCGTGCTGCTGCTGCCGCAGTCGCTGCTGCTGCATCTGCTGCGGCTTCTGCAGCAGCAGCAGCAGCAGCTGCAAGAGGTGACTGTACTCGGGGTGTACGTACACCTGAATCCGACAGGGGGCGGTGTGGGGTCCCCCGGGTGTATGTACACCTCAAAGTCAACTTGCGTTTTGGGCCCTCCAAATTCTTCTCCAACTCCTAAAAAGAAAATAAATAAAATAAATTCTTTTTTGATTAACTCCTTCCGGCTTACAATTGAGTCCATTAATGTTATTCAGCAACTCATAGCAGCAGCAGCAGCAGCAGCAGCAGTAGCAACGGCAGCGGCAGCAGCAGCAGCAGCAAGCGACAACACCAGAGGAGCGGGAGCAGCAGCAGCAGGAATAGAAGCAAGACCAGCAGCAGCAGCAGCAGCAATTCGCTTCTTTGCACGCAAACAGCTGCTCTCTGCACCCGGTGCTGCTGCTGCAGCAGCAGTTGCTGCAGCTGCTGCAGTTGCTGCTGCTGCTGCTTACATGCTTTCTTCGGTCCTGTTGAGAGCTGCAGCAAGGGCCCGCCTGAAGCGTTCTCTGCTGCTGTCTCCAAACAGCAGCAGCTGCATCACGGGGGCTTGTGGGGTCTCTCCTTTCCGCTGCCGCTGCTGCTGCTGCTGCTGCTGCTGCTGCTGCTTGCTTTTGTCCACTTTTGGCCGCCGCCACGTCAGCGTCACCCAGCAGCTCTCGCCGCCCCCAAATTCAATCTGAGAAAATAAAAAGACAAAAGAGAAAGGCTACCCAGCTAGCTAGCTAGCTAGCTAGCTAGCTGGCTAGCTCGCTAGCTCGCTAGCTAGCCAGCTAGCTAGCGAGCTAGCCAACTACTCAGCTAGCTAGCTAGCCACCAATCAATCCCTCAAGCCAGCCAGCCAACTACCCAGCTAGCTAGCCAGCTGCCCAGGTAGCTAGCTAGCTAGCTAGCTATCCAGCTAGCTAGCTAGCTAGCTACCCAGCTATCCAGCTAGCTAGCCAACTACCCAGCTACCCAGCTAGCTGCCCAGCTAGCTACCCAGCTAGCTGCCCAGCTAGCTAGCTAGCTAGCTAGCTAGCTAGCTGCTGCGCGTGCCTGTCGAATGTCTTCGAGTTTGGCCTTTTGTCCCTTTTGCAAGAAATGGAGTTTTGCTGCTTCCAAACGCTTTTGAGTTTTTCCGCGAGAAATTCCAAAAAGATTTTCCAGCCATGCGGGGCCTCCCTAAACGAAGTGCAGTTTTTATTTTATTTTATTTTTATTTTATTTTTATTTTTAATAGTTTGTTTATTGGATTTGTTTATTTGATTTGTTTTATTGGATTTGATTCGTTGGATTTGTTTGTTTTATTTGATTTGTTTTGTTCGATTTGTTTTGTTTTATTTATTTGTTTTGTGTTTTAATTGTTTCATTTGTTTTTTATGCGATTTGCTTTGTTTTGTTTAATTAGTTTTGTTTTATTTGATCGGCTTTGCTTTATTTGTTTTATTGTTTTATTTGTTTTACTTAGTTAATTTGGTTAAATCGATTTAAAATAAAACTCCATTATGAAATAATTCAAAGATAATTAAATTGAGAATAAAAATACAAATAATAAAGATGCAAATAATGAAAATAAATAAAAAGGAAATCAAAACAAAAACAAAAACAAAAATAAAATAAAAATAGAACTAAAAGAATACGTGGAGAAAAAGTGAACTGGAAAGCAAAAGAAGAAATGAAAAGAAAAATAAAAACGCAAATTGAAGCATTAAATAAAAAGGAATGAAAAAAGAATTAAAAACAAAAAATAAAAAATAAAAAAGATTTAAACTGGAAAATGAAAAAGAATTAAGCCAAAAAGGAAAAAATACTTAAAAGTAAAAGAAAAAAGAATTAAAAAGGAAAAGGAAAAGCGAATTAAAAATAAAAAAGAAAAAAGAATTAAAAGTAAAAAGGAAATAAAAACAAAAAAGAAAAAGAAGCAGCAAAAGCGCGTACCTGCTGCACCGCTGCTGCGCGGCTGCGCTGCACCTCTGCCGCTGCTGCTGCTGCTGCTGCTGCTGCTGCTGCTGCTGCTGCTGCTGCTGTGTCTGCTTCTCCCGCGTCGCTGCTGCTGCTCAGCAGCAAATTTGCTTCTGCTGCTGCTACTTGGGGGTCCATCCAGCCCAGGAAGTTGTCCAGTTTAGGTGTACGTACACCCCAGTTTGCTGCCGACGACTCTTCCTCCAGACACAGCAGCTGCACTCCCCACTTCTCCTCTGCAGCAGCAAGAGCAGCAGCAGCAGCAGCAGGAGTAGCAGCAGCAGCAGCAGGAGTAGCAGCAGCATCAGCAGCAGGAGAAGCAGCAGCAGCAGCAGCAGCAACTTGTTCTGTCTTTTGATTCTTTTCGATTTAGATTCCGCTTTTGCTGTCATCCTGCTTCTCAAGCAGCCGCGTGCTGGAATTGCAGCAGCAGCAGCAGCAGAAGCAGCAGCAGCAACAGCAATAGCAGCGGCAGCAACAACAATAGCAGCAGCAACAAAAATAGCAGCAGCAGTAGCAGCAGCAATAGCAGCAGATTTACCGGCGCTGGTGGGATCGAAGGCAAACCAATATTGCCAGTCAATGAAAAACTCGTACAGGTCTGCCTCACAAACAAACCCTAAACCCTAAACCCTAAACCCTAAACCCTAAACCCTGAGCCGGCCAACATAATGTTCACGCAGCTACTAGCGAGTTAAACATAAGCGCCAAATATCCAACTCTAACCCCTAACCCTCCACCTCTAAACCCTAAACCCTAAACCCTAAACCCTAAACCCTAAACCCTAAAAGGTGGTTTACACATGGCAGTTAGAATGTACAAGCCCAGGCGGTCCACTGGGGCTTCATCTTCTTGTGTCTGAACATCAAAAAAAGACACAATGAAATTAAAAGAATAAATATAATCAATTAATTAACTAAAATAAATAAAATAAATAAAATAAAATAGAATACATAAATAAATAATAAATAAATAAATAAATAAAAACGTATAAAAAGAAAATTTAAACAGATAAATGAATGAATAAAAGGAAAATAAAAAAATAAATAGAAAAACACAAAAAGAAATAAAGAAGATAAATAGAAAAATAAAATGAAAACAAGAGGAAAGAAAAAGAGAGGAAAAGAAAATAAAAAAGAAAAAGGGAAAAAAAAGAAATTAAAAGTGAAATTAAAAAAGAAAAGAATTAAATTAAAAAAGAAAATAAAAAATAAATTAAAAGGAAATTAAAAAATAAATTAAAAAAGAATTTTAAAAAAATAAATTAAAAAATAAATTAAAAAATAAATTAAAAAGAAATATCAAAAAAGGCAAGAAGTCCAAAAAGGTAAAAAAGCCAAAAAACTCCGGAAAAGTCCCAAAAATTCGCAAAAAAGCGAAAAAAGAAAAGAAAAGAAAAAAAGGAATTAAAAGGAGTCGAAAAGAGGGTTTAAAAAGCTGCAGAAAGATGCAAAAAGATGAAAAAAAGAAGAAAAAAGAATCAAAAAAAGAAAAAAGTTCGAACTTGTCGACGAATTGCAAAACACTCGCAGCTTATTAGCTGCAGCTTTATGTGCTGCAGCAAACACTCCGCAGACACCACGTCCCGCAGCAAGTCCACGCGCTCTTCGTCGCAAACCCCTGCAGCCGCAAACCCTAAACCCTAAACCCTAAACCCTAAACCCTAAACCCTAAACCCTGGGCTTTGCGCTCTGCGGGTGCTGCGGGAGACCCACCACGCGCGAAAAGCGAAAAAAAAAGAGCTGGGTGCCCTCTAAGACCGACACAACCAAACCCTAAACCCTAAACCCTAAACCCTAAACCCTAAACGCTAAACCCTAGGCCCTGCGGGGTGGTGCGGGACAAACCACATGCAAAGAGCGGAAAAACCCGAGCTGGGACACCCTCTAAGGCCTACACAACCAAACCCTAAACCCTAAACCCCAAACCCTAAACCCCAAACCCTAAACCCTAAACCCTAAACCCTACCTGAGCAGGCCCTCAAGCACATCATGAAGTCTTCTGCCTGATGCAGCACTTCGAAAATAAGACAGTCCATTGTTTCTTTTTCAGCTCCTTGTCCTTCTTTCTGAATTCAAAAAAATAAAAATGAAAATAAAAATAAACAAATAAAAATAAATAAGAATAAATAGAAATAGAAATGAGCAACAACTATATTGATCGAGGTTTTATTTGTTCAATAATCGCCAGCTTTCTTTCGCTTTGCTTTGCTCTCATTATTATTCAAAAAACGAAAATCAAGCACAAATTAGGGTTTAGGGTTTAGGGTTTAGGGTTTGTGCAGCTTAATAGTATGTCTTGGGGGCTTGCGGCGCCCCGCCTGCGTCCCCGCGCAGTCTCAGGGTTTAGCCTTTAGGGTTTAGAGTGTAGGGTTTAGGGCCTAGGGTTTAGGGTTTAGGGTTTAGGGTTTGGGGACCTTGTAGATCCAGCCCACGGCGATCCACTCGTCTCCGGGAAAACCCTTAACAATTCGCGTCATGTCTTTGTATTCTCTCATTTCGAAAATTCGAATTCCAAAACCCTTTTCGAAAACAAACTCTATTTCAGGGTTTAGCGGGTCCCGACTGCACTCAAAACCCTAAACCCTAAACCCTAAACCCTAAACCCTAAACCCTCATATCTTGGAAAAGACCACGCGACAAAAGTCGTCACGGGCATGCTTTTTTAGCATTCACTCTAAACCCTAAACGCTAAACCCTAAACCCTAAACCCTAAACCCTAGACCCTAAACCCTAAACCCTCGTCAACTTACATTCCTTTAGGCCGCTCGACAATGTAAAAGCGGCGGCTCGTGGCAACAGCCACTGCGCGTTCAGGCTGATCTGCAGCAAACTATAAACTCTAAACCCTAAACCCTAGACTCTAAACCCTAAACCCTAAGCCCAAAACCCTAAACCCTAAACCCTTCATTTTGCCCCGCACACAGTACCTGAACAACCGAACAAGGGTCTAGCAGAAAACTCTTCCAGGTTTAAGGGATTGCTGTGAGTGTGAGGTGAGGAGCCCACAATTAGGGCTTAGGGTTTAGGGTTTAGGGTTTAGGGTTTAGGGTTTACCGTCTTGGTGCCTTAGGGCGTTGTACCAAAGCACTGACCCAATTCGCAAAACCCTTTCGGCGACTTGGGAGTGGGAGGACAGCAGCAGCTCCTGAAGCCTCAAAGCCAACCCTAAACCCTAAACCCTAAACCCTAAACCCTAAACCCTAAACCCTAAATCCTCGACTTACAAGGGTCCTGCTGAAGTACTGCGTATTCGTCAAGTCCAGAAGCTCATACATCACGGAAGGGCGAATAGGATAGTGAAGAAACACGCGGGCCTGCAAACCTCTCGCCAAAACCCTAAACCCTAAACCCTAAACCCTAAACCCTGAACCCTAAACCCTAAATTGAAAATATGCAGGCAGCATCCGATCCGCAGCAAAAAGGAATGAGGAGGTCCTGAACAGCGCGTGTCTGGCTGAAGGCCCGTAGTGAAAGGGTTTAGACTTGTGAGGGTTTAGGGGTAGGGTTTAGGGTTTAGGGTTTAGGGTTTGGGAGGCCGAACATGCTCGAGGGCTCGCACTGCTTCGAAGCTGAGAGACTCGGGGCAGTGCTGCATCAAAGCTGATAAAATGTCAATGCAGTCCACGCGCATTCCTGCAGCAGCAGCAGCAGCAGCAGCAGCAGCAGCAGCAGCAGCAGCAGCAGCAGCAACAGCAGCAGCGTCAGGGAAAGGAGGAATAGCAACAGCAGCAGCACCAGCAACGGCAGCAGCAGCAGAAGCAAAAACAACAGCGTCAAGAAAAAGAGCAACAGCAACAGTAGCAGCAACAACAACAGGAGCAACAGCAGCAGCAACAGTAGCTGCAGCAGCAGCAGCAGCTGCTGCTGCTGCTGCTGCTCCCCATTTATTCTGAAACTGAACTTACGCAGGGCCTGGCCTTACTGTTCATCATTAGGGTTTACAGCTTTGGCTCAGGGTTTAGGGTTTAGGGTTTAGGGTTTAGGGTTTAGGGTTTAAGGAGTTCTTACGTTCACGTTCCATAGCCAGCCGGGACAACAGATGGGAGACGTAGCTTCCGCTGCGAGCAAAGAACCGCAAGGGTTTAGGGTTTAGGGTTTAGGGTTTAGGGCTTGGAGTTAAGCATTTAAGGTTTACTCACTACAGAAGCCGCACGGCCGCACTTCTCGAAATGAGACCGCCCCCTTCACTAGTGCCCAGGCCCAGGGCTTAGGCTTTAGGGTTTAGGGTTTAGGGTTTAGGGTTTAGGGGTTAGGGTTTAGGGTTTAGGGTTTAGGGTTTACTGTGCGCTGCCTGCGTCGACGGCCAAGTCCATAATTAACATGGAGACGAAAACCTTCACTGAAGAAATTGGAAAGAGCCGTTTGAAAGTTTCCTCAACTGCCCAATCCTATTTTAAATAAATAAATAAATAAATAAATAAATAATTAAATAAATAATATAATAATTATAATTATGATTAATTAATTGATTGATTAATTAGCGAATTGATTTGGTTATTTGCATGTGGAATGTTGGATATTAGGGATTGGAGATGGAAGTAAACAAATAAATGAAAATAAATAAATAAAAAATGAATTAATAAAAAATAAAAAAAAATAAATAAATAGAAAAATAAATAAAATATAAACAAATAATCTACATGTGTAGGAAATAATAAATAAAAGATAAATAAATCATTTCCTTTTCCTTTTCATTTTCACTTTTCTATTGGCTTTTCCCGAGCCTCTGTGGAGAGTCTTTCGAGAAATTAAACACTTAATGCACAATTAAAACACATTTTAATTATAATATATTTTAATTTAATTAACTGGAATAAATAAATAAATAAAACAAAAATGTAAAAAAAACGAAAAAAAGATGAAAATACAAAAAACGTAAGAGTCGCACAAAGTGCATAATAAAAATAAAATTAAAAACTGGCCAATTAAAGGGAGAATTAATTGTCCATTTAATGGACTAAATAGTTTCTAACATTTTTAATTCGAAAAACCAATAAATGATTAATTAGCCAATTAAAAGAAAAATTAATTGTCTATTTAATGAACTAACTAGTTTTAAAAATGGTTAATTCGAAAAACCAAATAATGAAAATAAAACAAAACATTAATCAAATGAAGGGACACCTAATTGCCTATTTAATGGACTAAATGGCTTTTAAAATGGTTAATTCGAAAAACCAAATAATGATAAAATAAGCAAATGGAAGATGAATTAATTGTCTATTTAATGGTCTAATTAGTTTTTAAAATGGTTAATTATTCATTTTTTTATTTAATTTAATGTACTTGAACTTCTCTCTCCTCTGAAAATTTGATATAAGGAATTTGCCGCGCCAAAGTTGCGTAAAGGGCAGAAAGCTCCACACAAAGAATCTGCAGATAAATTCGAAATTAAATAAATAAATAAATAAATAAATAAATAAATAAATAAATAAATAAATGAATAAATAAATAAATAAATAGATCTAATTAATTAACCAATCAATTGATATAAAATAAATTCAATTAATTGGCTAAATAATGTATTAATTAATTAGTTAATTGATTAATTGATTACATAATAAATAGCCAGTTATCTGTTTAAACATCTGCTGCAGTTGAGGTAAATAAGCAAAAAGTGAAAAAGTTGTTGAATAAAAAAATAAATGAAAATAAAATTTAAAATAAAGTTACTTCATTAGGTTTCTTCTAAACCCTAAATTGGCGGATAAAAGAATGCTGGTGTAAATTCAAAAAAGAAATAAATAAAACCCTCCACGGGCAGGGAAAACCGGCATCTTCTAAACCCTAAACCCTAAACCCTAAACCCCACAGCACAAATCCCAAATCATAGAGCACAAACCCTAAACCCTAAACTGGATACCGTAACCCCTAAACGACGAAACGTTAACCCCAAACCCTAAACCACAAACCCTAAACCCTAAACCCTACCTGCTCTCTCAAATCCAAGGGCTTTGTAGAGGCTTGCCTGATGAGGTGATGTAGAGGAGCCATCATCTGACGGGTGCACCTACATGCAAACCCTAAACCCTAAACCCTAATCCCTAAACCCTAAACCCTAGCCTCAAGGCTGAGTCTACTGAAGGCCAGCTGCAAAAGAGCCTAGAAATTAGGGTTTAGGGTTTAGGGTTTAGAGTTACTCGGCAACGATGTCGTAGTTAAGAATGAGATCCATAGACTCCACCTGCACCCCAAGCACACGGAAACCCTAAACCCTAAACCCTAAAACCAAAACCCTTAACCCTAAACCCCTAATTCTAGTAGACACAACACTCCCAAAGCCCTAACCCAAACCGAAGGCCTAAACCCTAACCCTAACCCTAAACCATAAACCCCACAGCCTAAACCCTAAACCCTAAACCCTAACCCCTAAACCCTAAACCCTAAACCCTAAACCCTAGCCTACTGGCTGCTGCGGCTCCAGCCTGAGGACCCGCTGCATCAGCCTGCAGAACTTCGCCCCCACATTTGCTGTAATGAAGGGGCAGTTCTCGACCTGCACTAGCAGCAGCAGCAGCAGCAGCAGCAGCAGCAGCAGCAGCAGCAGCAACAGCAACAGCGGCAGCAGCAGCAGTTTCTCTGAATTAAAAGCTGAATTTTGTTTTAGTGTCTTCAGCTGCCTCTGCCGAGAAAAAGATTCTCAACTTTGAGTTAATTTCTATATTTATTATTTTAAATTTTAATAATTAAATGAAGAAAAATAATAAATTTTTGTTTCACTTTAGAAAAAATAAATAATAAAAAGCAAATAAATAAAGAGACAAATAAATGAAGAGGCGTTTAAGTAATAAAAGGGACATTTGAGAAAAGGAGACAATCAAATCCAAAAATAAAATTAAACGAAAAGCAATTAAATAAAAAAGAATTAAATAAAAGGAATTAAATAAACAAATATATATATATATTTGAATAAACAAATATTTAAATTAAATTATTACGGCCTCCTGTTTATTTACTTTCCCAATTTTTGTGATTTTTGATTTATTTTTTTTTCGAATCAATTCATTTATTTCGCATTTAACAAATAAATGAATCAACTAATCATTTAATGAATCATATAATTAATTAATTAATCAATTAATTACTTAATCAATTAATTAATTAATTAAATGACAAACCAAAGATATCAAAGATCTCAAAAAAACAATTCTTCTGCAAACGCTTCGGGTGTCTGTACACGCCACTGGAGTCACCGGAAACTGCAGCGCCGCGTAAATAACTCTGAACTCAAAATAAAAATAAATAAATAATAAATTAATTAATCAATGAATTAATTAATTAATTTAATTAATTTAATTAATTTAATTGGATTAAATTGATTTAAACCAATTAAAATGGATTTATTTGCATTAAAATTCATCAAAAAATCAAAATTCGGGAAAAGACAGAAAAAAGAGAAAAACAAAAAAGCAGAAATCGAAGTTTAGTTAAAGTGAATTTTTATAAAAAGAGAGAAAGAAATTAAAAACAAAAAGAAAAAGAATAAATAAAACGCATACAAATCACACATGAGAAGCAAGTGCAGCAGTAGCAGCAGCAGCACCAGCAGCAGCAACAGCAGCAGCAGCAGCAATAGCAGCAGCAGCAAAGGGAACATGGAGTGAAGCAACCCCAGGAACAGGAAAAGCAACAGCAACAGCAGCAGCAACAAGGACAGCAGCAGGGTCCGCAGCAGCAGCAGCAGCAGCAGCAGCAGCCTACCTCAGTGTAGCAGCAACAATATAGCAGGGCTGCAGCTCAGCAGCATGGAAGTTGGCCCACAGCTGCAGCAGCAAGAAGGCAGCAAAAAGGGAGACAAATTTGATCCAAATGAGATAAATTAAAAAAGAAAATGAAATAATAAACCCAGAAAGCGGCAAAATAATTTAAAAATAAAACAAAAAGAGGCAAAAGAGATAACAGAAACAAAGAGAGAGACATGAAACAAAGGACGCAAAAAGAGGCAAAAGAAGGGACAACAACGAAAGAAAAACTTGGGGTTTAGGGTTTAGGGTTTAGGGTTTAGCTGTTTGCTGGGCCCACCCCCTCGTCTCCATAAAGGCCCGCCGTGTTGTTCAAATACAGCGCAGCTAAAGCAGGATCTAAACAGCCCCAAAACGCATGCATGCATGCATGCGCTTTGTGCACTTTGGGACTTCTGCACTAAGTTGCATACACTGGCAAATACCCGTATTGCGAACAAACAAACCCAAAGCGAATGCATGCATGCATGCATGCATGCAGAAAAT